TGTATGTGTACACTATGTGTATAGCGAAGTTAGAATTTAAATTAATGTTTAAGACGTCAATAAATTATATTTATCTATATATAATTTTAGTGTATGACTATGTATAATTTTTTTATACATAATTATAATTTAGTAGATAAGTTGAAACGCGCAATAATATGTAAAAAATCATTGTAAGAATTATATAATAAAAATATTGCTTTAAATTGTTTACTTATTTTACATTAAAAAAATATATAAAAATAATATTGAAATCCTTTAAATGCACCATTTTATGAATCGCTAAAAGCTGCAGATCTTGCTCGGTTTCTGCCGACAATCTGATGTCAAGTCATGTTAGCAGATTCTGCTCGGTTTCTGCTATCAATCTGCTATCAGATTCTGTGAGCAGGGTTTGCTAGCAGATCGTAAGCCTAATGCGGACATAACAGATGCCAATTTGCTCGCAACTTTTTAGTATATCTGTTGCCAATCTGCTGGCATATTGCGCGCATTTAGCTTACTGGGTATATAGCATATCCTCCATATACAAAAAAATTGTTTCTCTGTGCGTACATATGTATATCCTGATACATGTTAGATATTAGTATCTTTCTTTTATTTTAAATTGCATCTTGTAAGATTTCCATCAAATACAGGGTTGGGCAGAAAAACCTGACACATTTTAATAACCACTTGCGCGGCCGCTATTAATCGGAAGAGGTTGAAACTCCTGGAGAATAAACTAGACACTTGAAGGTTTTTTTTGTTTATTTACCAAAAATTATATCGGCTAAATGATGGCCGTTACAAGCAATACAATTTTCGAGGCGTTTTTCGAAATTATCATACACTTTTTTCAACATCGCGGGCTTTAATTCTGCAATTTCTCTCCGAATATTGGCTCTCAGCTGGTCCAAGGTTCGAGGTTTGTTAGCGTAGACACGTTGCTTCAAATAGCCCCACAAAAAGAAGTCGCACACGGAGAGATCGGGCGAACGCGGTGGCCATGGAAACTCAGTGTTGCGAGACAGCAGACGGGTGCTCCTTCATTTCTTCTGCGAATCTTAATCGAGCTGCATAGTCGGTATATTTCAATTCCTGGGTTATGAGAATTTTGTAGGGATGAAAATTCATCGCTTTCAACATTCTGCTAAACGATCGACGAGACATTCCGAGAGCTTGAGCATGTTTACCGGCAGAACGTCGTGGACTTTGTTGCAGAGAGGTGCGAACGCGTGTCTCATTTTCAGGGGTTCTTACCGTTCTTGGTTGCCCTGGAGGCTTTTGTTTCGTGGCTGTGGCTGTTTGTCGGAAGTTTTTGACCCACAGTTTCACAGAATTACGCGAGGGAACGGGATCTCGAGGACGAAGAGAATATTCAATACGAAAATCGCGAATTGCTTGAACGTAGGACTGAGTTATGAAAAAACGCTCGCAAACGAACGCGCGTTGTTGCGGCGGCCACTTCTCCATGNTGGAACTGTACTGATATGTAAACATAAACCTTCAACCATCTATTTTTCGCTCCCGGAGTTACAGCGCCCTCTTTTCACTTGGGGGGGAATTACGATTTTTTAAAATGTATCAGGTTTTTCTGCTCAACCCTGTAGATTTGCCAAGTTTCATGTAATAACAGCTTTGTAGGCATATATATTTGTAAACTTCTCAGTACACCTGCTCAAAAGTCATTCGATTATAAACATTTCATGTTTTTTACACTCGTTCAACCACTGTGTGTATTTGCGTTTTACTATATTATCTCAATATATATTTTAATAAAACTACGTAATATATAAAAATACCGATAAAAATATTCGCACATGTATATATTATATATTTTTATATCATATACGGCCGATTTCTTCATACTTCTCGATAGCTATCCTCTGGATAAATTCCTCTGACAATCAATAAGGAGAACCAATTTTGGGAAATATCTTTTAGATAAAGTTATCGAGAACTAGTTAGGGGGGTAATCGGGGTCTTTCATAATACGTGATGCAAATTTAGCATCCTATATAATTTTAAGAATTAATATTTCAATTCAAAAAAACACGTGAAAACGTGAATTTGTTTATATATGTGTACACGCACATATATATATATATATATAGACATATTTTCCGCACAACATCCAGCGAACGGCTCTCCACGATTTATATATATTCATGTATTAGTTTAAAGACGTCAGAGCCCGAGATAATTCTCAGTCAATCATTAATTATCGAGAACTTATCTAGGAAGTGAAAAAGTTGGCTGATAAAATAACAAAGCGTACAGCAAATCCAAACAATCAATAAATATCTCAATTGTTTACTTTCTCAATCTTGATTTAAATTAAAACACGACAAAATCAATCAGCTACATAATTTGAAATTTTTCAAATCACGTGTATAAGAATTATGTGTACAAATAAGATAGCACATAAAGAAAATCCTTACACTTACATAAAATTTAGATTACTTTGTATATGGAGCACGATATCTATACATAGTCGGACCAGGATATGGTAGTCTGATCGGTCCTACTGGAGGAGGATATCGAATTCTTCCTAAAGGAGCAACTTGTCTAAATCCTCTTGGTAGTGGAATAGGGCCCATTATAGGAATAATTGGTCTCGGAAAGTTCTATATAAACATTATTGTATGAAACTTCAATCAATTATATAAGTCCAAAAAAACATAAATTTAGTACAAAAATTTAAGTAAGTAGATGGTTTTTCCTTACGTAAGGATGAAGAGAATCTGCTGAATATAGTTGTAATGGTCCAATGTAATTTTCTACATCTCTTCGTTCAATGTATCTGCCTTTGTCTTGATCTCTGTCTCTATCTTTCTCTCTCTCTCTCTCTCTATCCCTTTCTCTGTCTATGTCACTGTCCCTATTTCTATCACTATCTCTGATTCTGTCTCTGTCTCTATCTTTATCTCTGTCTCTGCTTCTGCTTCTGTCTCTATATTTATTTTTGTCTCTGTCTCTGTCTCTCTTTCTATCTATATCTCTGCTTCTTTCTGTATCTCTACTTTCACGAGAACGTTCGCGTGATTTCTCACGATATCTCTTATAACAATATTCATATTCTATAAGTGATCTAATAAGAAACAAAAAAAGTTCTGATAAAAAGCAGTATTTATATTCTTAACTAAAGTAAAAAAAAAGAAACTTATAATTGTACGAAAAAATCTTTTAGTCATAATATTACTTCATATTAAAAGATGCAAAGCGATCTAATAATAGCAAATATCATTTCATCAAAAGATGCGGTAGTCATATATAATATAGTAAATAACCATCTTTTTTATAAATTTGTATTTTTTTTTTTATAAATTTTTGATAAGTGCGTGTACCTCAGTCTATTGGGTTTTGTCTTTTTTTGACATAAATACGTTTATATGATTAAGTTGATAATACTATACCTAGAATGCGAGTTACGTTTGTGTTCTATAGAACGTGAACGAGTACTACGTCGTTCATCCTCTTTCTCTGCATAATTATCCTTATAAACTTTGTGTTCCTCTAATCTATCTCTACAAGACAAATATAAACTTTATTGGAAACCACAACTTTTATTATTAGTTCTTGTCTATTATATAGTTATTTACTGTAAAAACAATAAATACGAATTTTAACTCTTTTACGACCAATACTAAAGGGTTACAATATCTGTTTTCTATAATAACTTTTTAACGCGCAGTTCGAAGTTTTTTCAAAATTGAAATTGATAAAAAACTGTATATTTAGAATATATTTATCCTTGTTGCAAGTTACAGATCGAACCTGGAGTGACTGGAAGAATGAGATTGGGGATTATATCTGTAACGAATTCTACTTGAACTCGGTAAAAGAGATCGCTTTCTTGATGTTCGTGACTTGGTAGAACCTAAAATATAGTGTTCTAGTATATAAAAATTTTCCATAACTACATATTATAGAAAATACATAGTTATATAAAATATTTGTAACTAAAAAGTATACCATATAAACAAAAGTATAAAAACATAAAAAACAAAAGGTGTCACAGTTAATTATTTCAATACCAAAGTAGCACAATTAAATTATTAAAACAATATAATTTTGATTTTGTAGTATAAATTTCACACCTGACTGATCTTCTTTTATGGTCATAACGGTACGGTGTTCTTTCTCTTCATCGCCTTTAATAATTCCCTGCTTTATTTCCGTTCTATCAAATATTGATTTAGATCCTTCTCCTAAACGGTTTATATTGTATTTGTATATTGCACAGGTGCATTGGTTTGCATTATTAAGAAAATCATTGCTTGAACACTTGCTCTTACAACTCTTTTAGTACTCAAATTAAAGATCAGATTTAGACTATAAATATTTAGTAAACAGTTGTAGTAAAAGTGAAAAGAATCTATAGAAACTTTTTTCTTAGTGTATTGTAGTATAAACATGATTCTATACCTATAGACGCGCTTGCGGTTTACACAACTACACTAAAGTTGTTTTTTTGTTTGCCGAATCACCAACGGGTTATAACGACCAAAGAATATAAATAACGATCTGAACTC